ATATGCGAAAACAAAAAACAGTGCCTCAATGAAGGAATAAAGGCGGAAAATTATTGTTAAAAATGCGTAAATTAAAGGTAATTCGAACCTGAAGAAAAACGTGCGTAATAAAACATATGTACATACATAGGTATTGAGAAACATAGGTACCGAAGTACCGGTGCGATATTTAATTCACGTAAAGTTCTGTGTAAAAGTGCCTTATGCATACAAATATGTACATACATATGTACATGTTGTACTAGTTGTTCGCGTTAAGGGTGTGTCAGACGGGAAGGATAAAATTTATTTCTACATGCGAAGAAATAAACATTGCGAAGTGTGACTGAAAAGAGTGCAAATCGATTTCGAAAAATATATTTCAACTTGCTCGTGTTTCCCTAGCAATTTTCACTTCTGCTGCAAGTTTTGTCAAATTATTAACCGAGTGTTGCCGAATGATACTGATTGCAAATTGCGAGAAATAATAAAAATAATTTGGAATAATTGTCAAAAAAAAACGTTTTGGAAATAAACCTAATTTCAGCAGACACTACAAATTTTCCTGTGATAGCTTATCCGAAAAAATATTGCACTACAACGTCTGACAACCCCTTTATGCCGTCGTAGTTTCAGTACATGTATGCATATATGTACATACATACATACTTATGGATGTTTGAAATGCAGCTCAACGCCTGAACGGCACATTTTTCGCACATTCCATTCTTTTGCCTTAGAGTTGTAGTTTCAGTACATGTATGTATATATGTACATACATACATACATATGTATGTATGAAGTGCAGCTCAATGCATGAACGGCACAATTTTGGCACATTCCATACTTTTGCCTTAGGGATGGTCAATGGCGCGTATGCTTGTGTGTTGACACAGTGTGTTGGTATCATTGTGTCATTGCTGCTGCGCTACTGTACTGGGTTACAGATTACTAATGTGTGTAATTTAAAATAAATTGCGTTCGCCCGCAAATACGTTGAGCTGGAAATATCGAAAGAAATTCAATACGTGTATATGTATGACGGGTGAATGCGTTTGAAATTACTACGGGGATTTGCTTAAAGCTGTTTTTTTTTTTTTGTTTATAAAAGAATGTGCAGCACAGGACATGGATTAACGCATCGAAGGAATGGTGTTGCAGATGCAGCCAGGATGGCCGGCAATATGCGCTATCCACAATGCCCAGTGGACGGTGAATTCTTTGAAGCAGAACCAGCCACCATACGACCAAAGAAAAAAGATCGGAAGAGACGAAAGGAAAAAGGGGTAAGTGCTTTACAATAAAATGTTTCTTTGTTCTCCCATTGTATTATTAATGTAAACCAGCCTACTCTGCTCGCGGGCCGTTCTATGGTGACTGGTGTAATGTGATTGTGTAAAATAAATTCACATATGTAGATGGAAAAAAATTAATGAAATTTAAACATCAAGTACGTTAGTTCTCATTCGGGATAGCTAGAATTGGATTTACTTTCATGTTGTTTACGTCTTTGAAATAGCAATATGTACAAATAGCGATTCTTCTCATTGGCAAGTTGTTTTCGCATACGAAAACGTTAACGACATGAAAAAATTCCTAGCAATTTCTACCATAGTTATTGAACAGTGTGTGTCTAAATGCAACTATCGTCTTAATGGTTCAATTTCATTAAGTATGCAAATTTATTTTTGAATTTCAATTCAATATGGAACGGTGTGGTAGGTGGAAGGGTTTTTTTTTTTTTTCGTATGGATTTATACAGACGCCATAGTTTCATCGTTATCCGTGGTATAGGGTGGTAGTAGTACTAGTTTGACAAGGGGTCTTGTCACTCTACCCTTTTCAGTTATGACCTCTACAACACGAACTCGATTGTCAGAACCTGGGTGCAAATTAGCCACCCTTCCTAATCTCCATTCGTTAGGTGGAAGATTATCCTCTCTTATGACCACCATGTCTCCGACTTTTATGTTGGATTTAGGATGTTTCCACTTTATTCGTTTCTGTAGTTCGGTAAGGTACTCCGTTTTCCACCTCCTGCAGAAGTTTTGATGCAAGGCTTTGAGTTTCTGCCAACGATTGACGATCGAGGCTGGGTTTTCGTTCACATCTAGTTCTGGTGGAGCCAAGATGTGTCCGCCTACCAAAAAAATGACCTGGAGTTAAGGGCTCAAGGTCAGATGGTTCATTGGAAGCTGGGCTCAGCGGACGTGAGTTGAGACACGACTCAACTCGGCATAGTAGAGTGTTGAATTCCTCAAATGTGTACTTCATATTAGACGCGATCTTTTTAAAGTGGCTTTTAAAGCTTTTCACACCTGCCTCCCACAGACCACCCATGTGCGGAGCTGCGGCAGGTATGAAATGCCAAGTCAATGCCTGATGGGCATATTTTGATAACGTATTCGTCCGAGCGTCGGATAAAAATGCCTTTAGTTCCGCTTTTAAAGCCCGTGATGCTCCTACGAAATTTGTCCCATTGTCTGAGTACACATTTTTTGGACACCCTCGTCTGGAAACGAATCTGGAAAATGCTGCTAAAAACGATTGAGTACTTAGGTCGCTTGTGGCCTCTAAATGAATGGCCTTGGTAGAAAAGCAGACAAATAGACACACATAACCCTTTGACAGTCGGCAGCCTCGTCCACGATAACTCTTAATGTCAAATGGTCCAGCAAAATCCACCCCAGCATTGGTAAATGGTCGCGAAAAAGTTGTTCGCTCTTGTGGAAGAATCCCCATAAGTTGGCCTTGCGCGCGTTTTTTATAGATAGTGCAGATCTTGCAGTTATGGATTGTGGACCTTATCATCGTTTTCACCTTAGGAATCCAATACTGCGTTCGTATGAGACGCAACATTAGTTGATTCTCACCATGGAGAGAAGTTTCATGGATGAATTGGACAATCAGACGGGATAATCTACAATTGT